TCATCGCGGTGATTGTCTTCATCAACATCACCATCGTCATCACTTTTATGCGGTCCACTCTCCCGCACCCCGCTGTAATCCCCTACTTGAACATGGTGCTTTATGCCATATATTATGATCCAATGATGTGTTGCCATCCTATGATGTTTTGAGTAGATTTCTTTTGTCCTTTGGGTTGATTGATGATCTAGATTAGTTTAGTTGTATGTTTTATTTTGATGATGTCCTATGGTGCCTTCTGTGCCGCACACACGTGAAGGATTCCCATTGTAGGGTGTTGCGATATGTTCATGATTCGCTTATAGTGGGTTGCTAAAGTGAGGTAAGCTTAAACTTGAAACTTTAATGCTATGGTTGGGTTTTACCTTAATATCTTTAGTAGTTGTTGATGCTTGATATAGTTTCAATCATAAGTGCATATGATCCAAGAAGAGAAAGTATGTTAGCTTATGCCTCTCCCTCATATAAAATTGCAATAACGACTACGATTTTGTTAACAATTGCCTAGGACAATTCCGCACACCTATCCATCATTATTCCACACTCGCTATTTATAATATATTCTAACTTTATGTTAACATCACCTATTTTTATATTTTAGCTCTCCGACATCATGCAAAGCTATCCTCTTTATACCCACAACGTAGTTTTATTTCTCGTTTCTAGATGAAAGCAAACATTCGGTGTACGTAGAGTCGTGTCAGTGGCAAATAGGACTTGAGAGAATATTGATCTTACATTTAGCTCCTTGTGGGTTCGACACTCCATACTTATCACTTCCACCTTCAGAAATTGCTACGATGACTCCTTGCATTTGGGGATTATCAAGGGCATCTCCAACTGTAACCCGTAAATTTCCTCCCGCATCCGTCCGCGGACAGGGCGACCAGTCCACGGACATGGACGCGGGACGCGGCCATCCAACTATACTCGCATACATTTCAAGCTCTTTTTCAACAAAGAGGATGAAATTCGTGCAAACAAGGTCGGATTTCATATAAACACGTCTAGATTTCATATAAACAAGATGAATTTCATTACATTTACATGAAAGTGGTGCTAGTCCGTCTCTAGAGGTATAAGTATAATACCTAATCTAAACGGTCATCGGCGCCCGTTCCCCGTGTCCGTGAAGGAAATAAGCCCTAGAGGCTATAATAAAGTTGTTATTTATATTTCCTTATACCATGATACATGCTTATTATTCATGCTAGAATTGTACTAACCGGAAACTTGATACATGTGTGGATACATAGACAAAACACAGTGTCCCCAGTAAGCCTCTACTAGACTAGCTCGTTAATCAAAGATGGTTAAGTTTCCTAACCATAGACATGTGTTGTCATTTTATGAACGGGATCACATCATTAGGAGAATGATGTGATGGACAAGACCCATCCGTTAGCTTAGCATAATGATCGTTTTTTATTGATATTGCTTTCTTCATGACTTATACATATTCCTTTGACTATGAGATTATGCAACTCCCAAATACCGGAGGAATACCATGTGTGCTATCAAACGTCACAACGTAACTAGGTGATTATAAAGATGCTCTACAGGTATCTCTGAAGGTGTTTGTTGGGTTGGCATAGATCGATATTAGGATTTGTCACTCCGAGTATCGGAGAGGTATCTCTGGGCCCTCTCAGTAATGCACATCATAATAAGCCTTGCAAGCAAAGTGACTAATGAGTTAGTTGCGCGGTGATGCATTACAGAACGAGTAAAGAGACTTGCCGGTAACGAGATTGAACTAGGTATGAAGATACCGACGATCGAATCTCGGGCAAGTAACATACCAATGACAAAGGGAATAACGTATGTTGTCATTGCGGTTTGACCGATAAAGATCTTCGTAGAATATGTAGGAACCAATATGAGCATCCTGGTTCTAGTGTTGGTTATTGACTGGAGATGTGTCTCGGTCATGTATAGATAGTTCTCGAACCCATAGGGTTTGCACGCTTAACGTTCAATGACGATTTGTATTATGAGTTATGTGTTTTGGTGACTGAAGATTGTTCGGAGTCCCGGATGAGATCACGGACATGAGAAGGAGTCTCGAAATGGTCGAGAGGTGAAGATTGATATATTGAACGATAGTATTCGGACACCGGAATG